GTAACTAAATCAGCATACTATCATCTCAAAAACATTGCAAGAATTAGAGGTTTTGTTTCCAGTCAAGACTTGGAAAAACTTGTTCATGCCTTTATTACCAGCAGGGTGTACTATTGTAATGGTCTCCTCACCGGCCTTCGCAAGAAGACCATTAGACAGCTGCAGCTCATCCAGAACGCTGCTGCCAGAATTCTGACTAGAACCAGAAAATCTGAGCATATCACACCAGTCCACAGGTCCTTACACTGTCTTCCAGTTATATTTAGGATTGATTTTAATGTACTTTTACTCGTTTATAAATCACTCAATGGCCTAGGACCTAAATACATAGCAGATATGTTCACTGATTATAAACCTAACAGACCACTCAGATCATTAGGATCGAGTCAGTTCACACAAAACAAGGGGAGTCTGCTTTTAGTTATTATGCCACCCGCAGTTGGAATCAGCTTCCAGAAGAGATCAGATGTGCTAAAACATTAGTCACATTTAAATGCAGACTCAAAACTCATCTGTTTAGCTGTGCATTTACTGAATGAGCACTGTGCAATGTCCGAACTGATTGCACTATATTTTATGTATAGTAATTTTCTATTCTTAACTGTTTTAAATTCCTTTTAAACCTCTTAAATCAATTTGTAAATCATTTTCAAAGTTTTAAATTCCTTGTTTTATTGTTGTGATTATTATTATTTTTTCATAAATTGTATGTAAAGCACTTTGAATTACCATTGTGTGTGAAATGTGCTATATAAATAAACTTGCCTTGCGGAGAAATAGCTGATAAAAATGTAAGAAAAATTAGAGTGCTCAAGAGACCTTTTTCATATCTGTCTTATTTGACATTCAATATCTCAGGACATAAATAAGGTAGGAGAAAAAAATCTATTTTGGTGATAGCATAAAGTATCCAAAAGTTACAGTATTTTGTAACAAAATAGGCCTTTTTGTTTAGCTCTTGACTCCCTGAAGGAATTTAAAAAACTGTTTTCTGAGAGTCATAAACAAAAATAATGACTCATAACTCCAAGACCGTAGCAAGGAGAGTCAAAATGCAGGTATCATTTGATAGATACATTTCTATATTTTTAGGGGGAAAACATCTTTGCATTTGAATATTCTCATGTTGAGAAATAGTTGATAAAATGTAAGAAAAATGTGTGTGGTAAAGGGAAATTTTTCATATTTTTATTTCAAAGAAATAAGGTAGGATACTTTTTTTTTGTTGGTAATTTTCCCCAACATGTGTGCTGTATGTGAATTACATTTTGTTATCATGAAATAATCAGAAGTTACAGCATTTTGAAACAAGGTAGCCCTTCTCTTAGCCCTTGACAGTTTTGAAATTGTTGTTTTGAATTTGAAATAATGCCTGACTCAAGTTTAGTCGAAGCCCCAAACAATTATACTTCTTTTTATTCTACTCATGAGACCTTTCAAATGACATATGACACATGACAATCCGAGCTGTATGTTTTAGATATATTAGAGTACATGGCACAAAAAACATATTTTGTAAATTATGATTTTTTATTTTAATTTAATTTATCAGCAAATAACTCGGCACTATTTTGGAGTTAATCAAAGTGGCTACATGCATTGTAAAGCTCAGATTCTAAGCTTTCAAATGATATCCGTTTTTGAAGGCAGTGGTTTGAAAAATATGATTAGTAATATTTTCGCGGAGGGGGGCGTCCCGCCCGTGATACACTTTGGTTTAGAGGGACTGCTCAGCGCTGGTTAGGAGTTGATCAATGATACCCGTTTTGTGTTATTCCATTCAGGGGTTGCTTAGTTATTTGATTATTAATTTTTTAGTGCGGGAGCTCGGGTTTAAAGGGTTAATTTCTTTCAAAAAAATGTTTTATATATGTATACAGTGGTGTGAAAAAGTGTTGGCCCCCTTCCTGATTTCTTATTTTTTTTCACTTCTAGATCTGAACAGCACATCTTCTTTAACACAGTTACATCTGTACACCACCTCTCATTGATGTAAAAGCATGTCCCGCCGCCGCGCGATTTCGCCGTTGATTCTGCGTCGCGATCTGCTCTGAACAGCTGAATGCCCGGGAGACTCAACGCGCTGTCCGGAATGGCGTCTTTCAGCCAGGTTTCCGTGAAACACAGAGCAGCAGAGTTTGAAAAATCCTTATTTGTCCGGGAGAGAAGAAGAAGTTCGTCCGTTTTGTTGGGTAGAGAGCGGAGATTTGCCAGATGGATACTTGGCAACGGCGTTCTGAATCCGTGCTGCCTGAGCTTCACAAGCGCCCCGGCTCGCTTCCCCTGTCTGCGCGTCCTGAAGCACTTGATCAGCGCCGCAGCTCCCCCGACAACAATGTCCAGCAAAACAATCAAAAACCGGTGAAATATCGGGTGGTGTGTACTTCCGAATGTCCAGCAATTCGTCTCTGGTGAAACTGATTGCAGGGATATAACTAAAGACAGGACAAACTAACAAAAACATAAAAACAACTGCGGAGTACGCCACGGAGGCAGCCATCAGCGTCGGCGCCATCTTACATCTAATAAACATCTTACATTTACAAATAAACAGTCCATTCATGCTCGAAAACCCTCCAATGTGGCTGAATTAAAACAATTCTGCAAAGAAGAGTGGGCCAAAATTCCTCCACAGCGATGTGAAAGACTCATTGCCAGTTATCGCAAACACTTGATTGCAGTTGTTGCTGCAAAGCGTGGCACAACCAGTTACTAGATTTAGGGGGCAATTACTTTTTCACGTAGGGCCAGGCAGGTTTGGACAGCTTTTTTCCCTTAATAAAATAAATAATCATTTAAAAACTGCATTTTGTATTTACTTGCATTATCTTTGTGTAATATTATGATCTGAATCTTTTAAGTGTGACAAATATGCAAAAAATTCAAAAAACAGGAAGGGGGCCAACACTTTTTCACACCACTGTATATATATGCACCAGGCTAATGAGATGACAAGTGGCACATGAGTGCTTCATTAAAATTAAAAACAATGACATGGTGCAAAAGAGTATTTTCTTTTGATTTTTAGGTGTAAAAAAATTTACTTGTAAAGACTACTTTAAGAAACTGGCAATTTACATGAACAGCACTGACTGAAAAACTGGCAGGATTACAACAATGTACCTGTTTGTTCTTCTATTATTGAACATCCTGTTAGACTGGAGCTGCTCATATAATTGCTTTATTTCAGCAAGTCCTGGTAGGAAGACCAAAACAGCACCTGTGCATTCACCAAAAAGGAAAAAGCAACAACAAAAAAAGTCATTCACTGAGTTTTTTTAACGCTTCTAAGAAGGCTGTAATTATTTGAACAGTGCAGGGGTTTATGGAGCTCTTTACCTGGTGGGTAGCTGTGCTCTCCATCAACAATCCACTCCAACAGACTCTCCACCAGGTCCATGTTGATTTTATCAAGATCCATAGCAGCCAATGTTTTCACTACAGACTTTGAGTAATCTTAACAAGAGATGCACAAAGATGTACACAGTTCAGGGTGTTTTGTCATATTACACAAAGATTATTCAATAAGCAGGATGTACTTTGTACAATCACTAAAGACAGAAATGAGCATAGACAGGCTCGCAAAAAAACAGAAAAGGAATAATAAGAAGGCCCACAAAAAACTCACAGGAAATGAAGAAAATTTTGGTAATAAATCAATAAAACATGCTAAAATGACAGAATTCAAGTGTTTTTACTGGAATATCGGACGGTAAGTTCCTCTTGACTGAGCTGCTGATCAGGGATGGAGTCTTTGACCGAATCCTTTTTCATTAAGGACGTAAATGACCAGCTACCATCATCATCAAAATCCTCAACAGGAGCCCGTCCCTTCCCAGCCGTGCCACCCTGAGCAGAGGGACGATTTTGCTTTGTGGAGCACCGATATGGACTTCCATCTTCAATTACATACCTTCACAACAAAAGAACAAACCACGCTGTGTTGTAAAGATTGTTTATCATTTATTTTTGATGAATATATAACAATCATAGATGAAGCTATATGTATTTTATGTGAATACTTGGTCTTAGCGATGGCGTCTTCAAGGAAGAACTGCTCCACTGGGAATGTACGTCCTTCAGATAGAAAAGTCCATTGAAAGAGAAATGTGTGATGGATTAAATTCTAAATTTACATCTTTAAAGGTGCACTGTTATATGGTATATCATACCTGGTATATGGATGCTGGGGCAGTTGCTGAAGTACTGTGAGAAGAGCTCGGCATTCAGGGTTGCACTCATCATAATTATTTTCAAATCCATCCTTTTTACAATCAGATCCTTCAGAACCAGCAACAGGAAGTCACTGTGAGACAGGAATCATGTGACTGTCAGACTCATGTGTGTGACTGTGTTGTAATGTGCACCTGTGCTTTCCACAGACCTCTCTTCTGTCCGTTCATGGACCTCATCCACAATCACATGTGTGATGCCACTGAGCTCAGAGTCGCCCTCTAGCCTCCGCAAAAGGACGCCGGTGGTGCAGAACATCAGCCTGGTGCTGGAGGACTGGATTCAAGAAATTATATACAGACATTAATACTTTTTTAGCAAGGATGCATTAAATTGGTTAAAAATGAGTAAGGGCGTTTATGTTGTGACAAGATTCATATTTTAAATATATCTTCTGAACTTTCCATTCATCAAAGAATCCTAAAAAAGTTTCACTGTTTCCAAAGAAAAAAAAAATAAGAAGAATAATAAGAATCATGTGACACTGAAGACAAGAGTAATGATGCTGAAAATTCAGCTTTGCATCACAGGAATAAATTATAGATGATAAAATATTAAATGAATAAATGACATTTTAAAATATATCGAAATTTGACTGTTATATTGTACATTATATATGAATATTTCACAATATTACTGTTTTTCTGTATTTTTACTGTTACTGTATCAAATAAATGCAGCCTGGGTGAGATTAAGAGACTTCTTTCAAATAAATTAAAGAGAGAGAGAGATAATATTCAATTTACAATAGCTTGTATATTGAGTATCTTGAAACTATATCTTGAAATGGCTCTAAAAAAAAGTTTATTCAATATATAGAACACCATAATTTGGACTAAACAAGTTATTGATGCCAATTGAATTAATAACATTTAATGTGAAAATAAAACAGTTACTTTAGTCAAATAATTTTCTATTGATTACGGTAAATGATAACCAAATTATGACAAAAATTGTGTTACCCTGACGGTCTCCAGACGGATCTGATAGCCTGTGGAGAGACCCAAGGCCTCTGCTCGTTCCTGGGCCACTCGGGTCGCCACAGCGATGGCAGAGATGCGCCGTGGCTGAGTGCAAATAACGTTGGCCACTCTATCCGGCCGTCCAGTCTGGAGGAAATGATCCAGGATAAACTGAGGAATCTGAGTGGTTTTCCCGCACCTGAGGTTACATTAATTCAGACATGAAGAGATGTCAATATCATTAAATTTAACCAAATAAAAAACTGGTCAACAGAATAGAAATGCAGCAGGTCACAGTCTTACCCAGTCATCCCGCTGATGACGAGAACCTGGTTCTTATCCAAACAGTCCAATATGGCCTCTCTCTTCTGCCATGCAGGCAGCTTCTGCCTCTGCTCCTGCATCGATGTATAGCGCCTCGACGACTGACAGGGAGAACACACAAATCAAACTATGAAAAATCTATTTCTATGTTCTATCACTTTCTTCTGTGTAACACAAAAGGCCGAACATTTGAACAATACCCCGACTGTTCTCTTCCATATAACAAAAGTGAATGGAAACAGGGTGCTGTCAAGCTCCAAACTGATTCAAACGTGCTCTATAATGAGGTTTGGTCACAAGACATGGGGGAACTAATAAATAAATAAATATTCAAATAAAGGTTGAAATGATATAAGGATACATATCACAATCACACACACATCCAAGCCAATAGGGGCAAGACAGGTCTGTTACCCGTTTCCTCTTGAACTCTCTGCAGAGCTTCTTGTTCTCTTGCAGTATTTGCTCAGTTTTGATCTCAATCTTCACCATCCTCTTCCTCAAGTTAACATAGCTCTCATTTTCCACTGGGATACATTGTTCTTCATCTTCATCACCATCTTCTTGTTCATCAACAATATCCTCTCTTAGGTATGAAGCATCTGATTAAACACAAATACATTGACAGAAGTTTAATTTTTGGGTGAAATATTCATTCAAATATTGTTTGAATAATAATGATGAAGTCTTAAAGGGATAGTTCACCCAAAAATGAAATTTGATGTTTATCTGCTTACCCCCAGGGCATCCAAGATGTAGGTGACTTTGTTTCTTCAGTAGAACACATATGATGATTTTTAACTCAAACCGTTGCAGTCTGTCAGTCATATAATAGAAGTGAATGGGAATCACGGCTTTGAGAGTAAAATAAACATACACAAACAAAACCAAATTAAACCCTGCGGCTCATGACGGCATACGTGTGTAAATACACGAAACGAACAATATAAATACTGTTCAGTTTCTTGTACAGACCAATCGTTTTGTGTCTTTACACATCAATGTATCGTCACGAGCCGCAGGGTTTCATTTGGTTTTGTTTGTGTATGTTTTTTTGACTCTCAAAGCCGTGATTCCCATTCACTTCCATTATAAGACTGACAGACTGCAACGGTTTGAGTTAAACATCTTCGTTTGTGTTCTACTGAAGAAACAAAGTCACCTACATCTTGGATGTCCTGGGGGTAAGCAGATAAACATCAAATTTTCATTTTTGGGTGAACTATCCCTTTAAGTCATCCAATCCCTCACCTTCCTTCTGTCTCACTCTGTGGTTTGTGCTCTTGGTGGTGTTGGTTAATTGATCTCTAGTTGCTGTATTGGTCATAATGTTGTTTTCTACAGTGTTCCTACTGCTCCGATTCCTGGCCGGAGTGACGGTGGGCGGAGCACTGTATTTGTGATGGGCAGCTGACAGCAGCTCTCTAGCAGGTCCATCCTCCTCCAGACAGGAAATGAGGGTGTAGACCACCGGCTCTCCTTCCTGCGCACCACTGAGTGCCTGACCGAACAGGTACTCTGTGACACTGAGGCATCCCGCGCCTGAGAGCGATTCATCAGTGCTACTGAAGGCCACGAGCGGAGCTTGAAAAGGATATAAACTACCTGGTTGGAAGCGAATCTCCAGCTGATAAACGGGAACTTCTGTGCTGCTAAACCCTGGCTGACTTGCCTTACAAAATTCTCTGGAAGAGCTCGATTCAGGAGTTTGGTGCTTGAACCTGCAGCGGTTTCCATACCTACAACCTGCCCCCTTCAGGTAAAACTTGCAAATCTGATTGGATCCTGACTGCTTTTTACAATTTGCAGCATCTGAAATTTTGTTCCGCCTTTCATCCAGGCACAGCAAATCAAGCTGGATTGTCCAAACACGATTACTGATACGCTCACAGTAGCGATCCCCGTAGATTGCCGTCAAAGCCAGGGCCTCTTCCTGTCGTGGAGCTACACATTCCTCCTGAGAAGGGAGGTCCGATGTTTGGGGGCTGAGGGCGCTGGAGCCGAAACGTTCTGTGAACATCTGGGATAGGAGGAGCTCTAATGTCGCTCCAACCTCACCACGTCCACTTTCTTCTCCAGCCTCCAAAGCTTGTCGACAGCGTTCACGGTCAAAGCCATACCTGCAACATAATGGGAAACACGGAGTTACTTTTACAGTATAATGAGTGAACAAACAGATTAAGTACTGTTTTAGTTTTGATAAATGGTACACCAAGTACACCTCATCTACCATCCAGGCATAAACTATCTGTGCACGTTATGCTATAATACACTGTAAACATTTTTTGTTTCTGAATTTTTACAGACAAAAGTAAAAATGCTACAGTAAAAACGTTAATTGGTTAATACGGTTATTAAAAAAACTATGAATTATCGTATCATTTACAGTGAAAAACAGTAAAATGACCCTCACAAAAGTTGCTACACATCACATATGGTCATATTTTATATAAATATGAAATATAATCATCTTTCTTATCACTTTTGCTATCTGTAATGTACATTATGCCATTTTGTGTTATATTTTCTCTTATTTATTTTTTTGCAGTTATTAGGTTACAACAAATACAGTTATTAATCAAACAGATAAAAATATTAAATTTTTCTGTAAAATACTGTCAAAGTTATGGTTACTGCACACAAAAACTATGAATTAACATATATTTTACAATAAAAAACAGTAAAAAGACATTCCCAGAAGTCCCTGCATTTTATATAAATACATTTTTAATTCTCATTTTTGTCTGTTATTTAATTTTTTACAGTTATTACCTAATAACCAATCATTATTACGTTTATTATTTATAAGAACAAAAACTTTAATTGCTTAACATTGCATAATATGTCATTTGTCTGTAAAATGCTGCCAAATGTATGGTTATTGCAAGTAAAAATTTATGAATTGCCATATAATTTAGGGTGAAAAACAAAAAAAGAGGTCCCTTTGTGACATCACATATGATTAAAAAGTTTTGTACCTGCAAAGAGCGCCCAGAGCAAACAGAGAGATCACCAGCTCTGGCTTTGTGTGCTTCTCCTCGACCGAGTCCTCCATCCAGTCATCACTCTCGGCACATTCTACTCCATCATCATGGGTTTGCCAGAACTGACCTTCCTCACGACGGTCCAGCTCATCATACTCCTCTTCCTCATCCTCCTCATCCTCACCACCTTCATAGCCAGAGCCGCTACATGACAAAAATACATTCTTAAACAATGAACAAACACCGTAAGAGTTAGAGTGCAACACAGGGGGTTAAAGGGTTAGTTCACCCAAAAATTTAAATCCTGTCATTAATTACTCACCCTCACGTCGTTCCAAACCCATAAGACCTTCGTTCATCTTCGGAACACAAATTAAAATATTTTTGATGGAATCTGAGAGCTCTCTGACCCTGCATAGACAGCAAGGATATTACCACGAACCACGATCAAGGTCCAGAAACGTAGTAAGGACATCGTTAAAATTATCCATGTGACATCAGTTGTTCAGCCTTAATTTTACGAAGCTACGAGATTACTTTTTGTGCGCAAAGAAAACAAAAATAACTAATTTATTCAACAATTTGTCTCCTCCGCGTCACCCTGTAGCGCCATTTTGGTGAGTATCACATACATAAACAACGTATGCTGTTCTGTGTCAGCGGCACCGTACGCAGATATGCTGTTTACGTTGTTTACGCTTTGATCTGAAAGTAAAAAACACATCCACATACATACGTTGTTTATGTATGTGATACTCTCCAAAATGGAGCTACAGGGTGATGCGGAGGAGACGGATACTCTCTAAAATGAGTTATTTTTGTTTTCTTTGCGCACAAAAAGTAATCTCGTAGCTTCGTAAAATTACGGTTGAACAACTGATATCACATGGATCATTTTAACGATGTCCTTACGACGTCTCTGGACCTTGATGATCGTGGTAGGATTCTTGCTGTCTATGGAGGGTCAGAGAGCTCGCGGAACGCATCAAAAGTATCTTAATTTGTGTTCCGAAGATGAACGAAGGTCTTGCAAAATCCCTATGGAGAAAATGAATAGGAAAAACAAAATATTTGCAGAACCAAGGCCACTGTTGCCTCTATAGAAACAAACTCAAGTTCGATGTCCTTACGACGTCTCTGGACCTTGATGATCGTGGTAGGATTCTTGCTGTCTATGGAGGGTCAGAGAGCTCGCGGAACGCATCAAAAGTATCTTAATTTGTGTTCCGAAGATGAACGAAGGTCTTGCAGGTTTGGAACGACACGAGGGTGAGTAATTAATGATAGGATTTTCATTTGTGGGTGAACTATCCCTTTAAGAGAAAAAAAAATCCCTATGGAGAAAATGAATAGGAAAAACTAAATATTTGCAGAACCAAGGCCACTGTTGCCTCTATAGAAACACACTCAAGTTCACCTATTTGGTGTGTGATACTCGTGGCTCTGAAGTTCCCGCAGCAGTTCTTTGACCTGCAGTTTGTTCTCTGAAGTCATGTGTATCTTCTGCAGGGGCAGCTGCACTTGCTCAGGTCTAAATCTGGATCTCATCTCCTCCTCGTCGTGTTTTCTGGCCAGTGCCTGAGATCTTCCTCTGCCGGTTCCTCCACGAGCCCCACGGACACCTCTTGAACCTCTAGATGAGGGAGGCTTGAATGACCGACTGCGACCCAAATCTAGGCTGAAATCATCCCCATCATCCCAACATCCACTAGCAGCTTTCCTGTTTCCACCTCCACCTCCTCGTCCTCCTCTTCCTCCTTGTCCTCCTCCCCCTCCTCGTCCTCCTTGTCCTCCTCTTCCTCCTCCTCCACCTCCACCTCCTCGTCCTCCTCTTCCTCCTTGTCCTCCTCCTCCTCCTTGTCCTCCTCCACCTCCTCTTCCTCCTCCTCCACCTCCACCTCCTCGTCCTCCTCCACCTCCTCTGGGTTTATTGAACCGTCCTCCACCCCGATTGGGTTTGCTTCTCCTCCTTCCACTCATTAGTTCAGCTCCTTTTTAGTGTATTTCCTTTCAATTGAAGCATACGTGTGTTAATACACTTGTACTGAAAACCATCTGCAAACAAGCTAATATAATCATTTCTTATATATATATATATATGCTTATTTATATTTAACGGCTGGCATTTTATTTGTAAGGATTATAAGCATAAATCAACCATTTAAATATAGAAACACAGCAACCAGACATGAGTTAGGACGTATTATACATAGTATAAATGTACACTATATGTTGTGAGTACAGACAGTTAAGAAAAAATACACGTTATTTGACAAAGAAAGCCAGCTCACAAATCATACCGATCATCGAGCCGATATTGAAATCAATATGAAGTCTCGCGAATCTCTTGCTGTACAGTGACAGCTACTTTTGTATCAGTAACGTTAGATTGAAATCAGCAGCAAGCAAAAGAGTTTCGACAGGAAACATGATGCATTTTTCAAAATAAAAGTCGGGCGTGGAACAAAATAAAAACTCGAGCTCTGGCGAACAGTTTTGGTTTTGTTTTGTTGTATAATTTTATTTTGTTTGCGTTTTTTAATCACAAATACTATATATTGAAACTAGCTTTAAGCTGTATCACGATAAGTCATGTTTCAAAATGACATCAAAATAAATCAATACAAAACAATAAAACATCGATAAATAGGTTCAGTGGTCTATAAAAAAAATAATTAAACCGCATAACAAATGAGCACATTTAGTGTCTTGCTTATGCTCGTTTTCAATGTCCTAGTGCTGGCAAACAAAGCGCTCCATCTGACTGCACTGTTTGTAATGGTTCAATTACATTAGATAGACAGTTTAGAACAAGCTCTCACAGAGGATGCTGAGTTCACAAAATGAACTCTTTTGGGTCCAACAAGTCATTAGTCATTCTGAGCATTCTGGGTGTTTTGTTCTCTGAACTCTTCCCAGATAGCACATGCACGTCTGCAAGATGTCTGTTAAAGATCTCTTCATCTGGAAAGCATCTGCTGTGTACAAACATCTGATAGACGTCTTTAAGATTTCAGTTTTACATACATCTTCTAAACGTCTATTTGACATCTGATAGGAAACATCCTATAGACGTATTGCAGATGAGCAAACACTCTAAAAAATACGTCTTGCAGATGTAAATGCAGACGTCAAATAGATGTCTCTGAGATGTACCTGTGCTATCAGGGTTTCTGAGTATCACACATGTTAAAAAGTGAAAATGTGCAGTTTATACCCAGAGACATTTACCCTTTAAAAAAACAACAACAACCACCCTGGACCCAACAGGGTTGAAAAAAAAAACAGCTTATTCTAGATTTAAGATAGTGGTGGGTCAGGACAAAACTCTCGTTTTGGTTGAGTTTTAAGGGTAAGTGGCCCTTCTGCTATTTGGAACACATGGATGGATGTTACCAGGTGTAAATGGAAGGAAGACAGGCTGTTAGTTTCTGTCTTCCCTAGGTGGGAAAAAAAATACTGACATATCATTTGAGATTTACTGATATAAAAAATATAATTAAACTTTATTTGGAGTACTACTTTTGCAAAAATTCACATTTATTAATATTAAGCCTAAAAGGTCTTTTAATGTCACTATTGATGAGGATTGTATGATCTTTGAATAATATCTTGTCTTTAAATGCAAGATATTTAGAGTGTACCTAGAGTATACTTACAATAGTTCCACTTCAGCACAATCAAATATACTTCAGTATATCTTTAGTTGGACCTCAACACTACTTCCACACAATTAAAGTACATTAAGCACAAAATTAGTTGTTCCAATTTAGCAAACTCTAAGTATAGCAGTTTAGTCTACCAAAAGTTCAGTTTGGTATTTTTATGAAGTATATAACATGTAAATGTATTTGTAGTGTACTTAGCATGAAATCAATGTAATTTAAGTACATTTTATTATATTTATTTTTCACTAGGGTTCAGTTGCTTGCCAGTTAAAATCAAGTTCAACTAAAACTATAAAAACATTTTTGTTACTTGAAATTTAACTTAATTTAACTAAAATAAAATATTAAAAACCATAAACTTATTTTATTGTAGCTAATAGCATTTCTCACTTTTTTTTTAAACCTGATGTAAAATAACTAAAACTGAAATAATAATAAAAAACTGACATAAAAATCGCAAAACAAAATTACCAAAACTTTAACTATAATTAAAATGAAAACCAAAAATATAAAAAAATTAAAAAAAAATACTTAAAATATGTATCTTTAAAAGAAGTGCATATGGAGCTGGTATCACAGGATCACTTATTTTTCAGCCTAGATAGTCTTAAACAAGATTCAGGAATAAATAGATGGCAAGTCTGTGTCAGGCAGCATTGTGTGGGAATGCATTGTGAATGATGATCAACAGTGAGGATAGCGGAGGTGGCGAGGGGGAGTCGAAAGACGAGGTCAAAAGTACAGGTCAGGGAAGTGCTGATTCTTGGAACGGAAGTCTTGGCTGATTTTACACACGTCAGAAAAGTAACAGAAAAGTGTGAGGAATGTCCAAAGGCCTTCAGTTGAGTTTCCTTCGTGCTATACACTGTTTCTTCTGTTTGAGTGTAGTAATTGAAGAAATGATGGATGATGAGGTAATATCTGCAGACATGCTGAGAGAAGTGGGAACTTTCGAGGGTCCAGAACTTTCTGCTGAAGATGATGAAGGATAGTTTAGGGAAGAGGAGGTGGTGAGTAGGTGGCAAATAGGGTAACAGAGCGAGGCGATACTGTCAGTCTGTGTCTGTTCTTTAAACCGGACAGCTGCTTATGTAACAACCACTAGTCAAAATGGGAAGGGAGCCATTTTCTCATACATTTAAACAAGTGGTGTAGTTTGTTATCTTTGTAGGCCTTTCTTTTCTATCTGAAGCTCCTTATTTCGAGCTATCTGTTTCGTTTTCATCCCTTGCGGATATCCTCCCTCTCTGCGTTCTTCTGTTTTTATACTGATAGAGCGTAACCTTTTGGCTTTCGTCACTTATATTTGGCCTCTTCCTGAAACACAGGCCTGAGCACTGGAGAAAGAAGGCACAGGGTGTAGGCGGCCTTATGTAATTTCTTTGTGCTGCTCAGTGAAAACAATTAGTGGATGCACATTAATTATGACTAATGTATTCTGTCAAACTTTGGATATGACTCACAGAGTGCAAAACAACACAAATAAACGGGACGTCTTGTAGTGTAATTTTTAACTAAACTATTTTATCATTACGTTTTTAGCATTGATAAGAAATGATTATTGAGCAGCAAATCAGCATATCAGAATGATTTCTGAAGGATCATGTGACACTGAAGACTGGAGTAATGATGCTGGAAATTCAGCTTTGCGTCACAGAAATAAATTACATCTTAAAATATTTTCAAACTGAAAACTCATAATTTTCAAAAATATTACTAGTTTATACTGTGTTTTTGACCAAATAAATGCAGCCTTGGTGAGCATAAGAGACTTAGATATTTAGACAGATGTATCTAATGCGTATAACGTAAAGAGGAAATTAATTGTTACATCATTGTAGGCTGACATTAATTAAAAGCCCTATGCTCCAATGTGCTTCGCCCCTCCACGCCATCATTATAAGTACCAATTAAATTACTGACGCCCTGCATGTTTCAAACTGGAAAACTCTCATTGAGGATGAGCACAGAGTCGCCCACAGACTGCTGGGTTTTCTGGGACACTAAGCACTGCGGGTCTGGGACAGGGTGGCCGAGGTGACGAGGTGATGCTGGGGGGACATAAGGCAATCCCACAAGCCCTGTGAAACACAGCAGGAGATGTAGCACTACCGTTTACACCATGAAGAGTTAAGCACCCCGCTGACTGCACACAGAAGAGGATCAAGGCCCTCCTTTCTGATTGGCTGTTACCATGTGTTCACGCAGCTGAGAGATGTTGACTGTAAAAAAAAAGTCACTCTTGCTCATGTCAAAGTCCTGCTAATTTAAACATTTTATTGACAAAAAGAAGGTCAAGTTTGCTTAAAATGGAGAGAAATTGCATTGGAGCATAAACTCGTAAATGAAAACGTGGAGTATTTAGTTGTTTTTGCATGTGATTTAAGGTTGGAATATGCTACATGACTTTTGCCCAGATTTTTGTCCCAATTTACAGTCTGGATGAGTTGATGCTAGTCAGAGCCAGTCTGCAGATTTGGGGCAGTTGGAGTTGACCGTTTTTGCAGAAAATTGCATGTATGAAGGGCACAGATATTTTTAGGGTTTCCAGATGATTTTTTTATCTTCAGACTGTGACTCCATCCAGATATAAAACATGTTAGAGCGCGATTTTAGAACACATATTGTTTTCATTTGTCATGTGTATTCTAGCAACATGTTTCTGCGTGAATTTGTTGTGTTCGTGAAGTCTGGTAGTAGTGTGTGACCTTTTTACAATATGTAATATAAGTCTCAGCTCAAAATACCCCATATCATTTTGAAAATGTGAAAAATCATTTGAAAAAATATTTTGAGTGGAAGCAGAAAGCAGTTTTTGTGCATGTCTCTTTAATGAGCTGTTGCTCCCCGCCCCCTTTTCCAGAATAGGGTTGTGCCTTTACAGCTCATTCCTCAGATGCTCTGCTAAAAAACGTGTTTGATTTTGATTATCATGTATATTGCGCTGAAATCATGTGTTTTAATCCATAATTAAACTTCTGATATAAGCGCAATGTTAACGTTTGTATTGGGTGTGCCCTCACACTGCTCATGTCATGTGACCTGTCTTCCAAAAAAGGACATATGTAAATAAAGGCAGTTCTGGTTCATCATAATACCGAATAGTGAGCATGTTTTTTCCTCCGTATAATTAAATATAATTTACCGGTTATCATATGCAAAAATGGCTGCGCCAACACACACACACATCTAAAGCACGTGCACAGAAAGTGGTTGTCACATGGCATGTGAGTGCTAAACTAAGTTCTCTTTCATGACTTATTGTGCTTAAACAGTCAAATGCAAACAAGTTTGTTAAACACACGAGTTACAAAAACAGTCGGTAATGTCTGTGAAGGTAAACAGCTGGAAAACTGTGTTCTGTGCTCATCTGTGCAGCCAAAGACAGAACAGTTAGAACGCTTTGTTTGAACTTTCGCCATGGCGTACCATTAAACTGGTACACCGTTGTCACTTCCAAAATCACAATGGCGGCGCAGTGGGTGCAAACGTGCAGATTAAGGGGCGGTAATATTATAATAAGATCCCCTTTCTACATCACAGGCCAGGGGGAGCAAAATCTGACACGCTAATTTTTTCACAAGCTTGCAGAGAAAGGCTTACCCCCAAAGAAATGCACCGGGACCCGATTATAGCACT